AATAAACATGTACTACTTTACATTATAAAGTCAACTTCGACATATATTTCAATCGTATGAAGTATTTATTTGTCAATTTATAACTATTATTAATGTTGTGATATTTCGATGTTTATAATAAGGATCAAATAGATCAATTAACTAATAAATGTATTAGTTAAAACAAAGAACAATTCTTATATTCTTACATGAGTTCGATGATAAATAATATCATTAGATGTTACTCATTATATAGTTTAAATAGAACTTATTGTATTATTAATATTTTCAAATGTTACCACTGAGTAAAAATAATATATAATTTCAACTTAACATATGAAGCGAAATAAAAAAGAATAAGAAAAATGATTTCGTGTTTTATTTATTATATATCTTAACTGTGTGTCATATGCACAATTGAACATGATAAACATCGAAATATCACAACATTCAAAATAACTAAAAAAGTGACGATAAAATAATTCATATGATTACTAAGCAAAAAAAACACCGTGATTAACCAAACGGTTAACTACAATCAACCATTAGTTTTCAACTGATTTGAGCAACATGAGAAGAAAGAAAAAATTTACTGTAAGTCAGAAACATATATTTTACATTAAGTCTTAGAAATTTATAAGAATTTTATAGAATGAACCAATCGTATCATCGTAGTTATCAGCACCACTTACAACAAGTTTTCAATGACAAGTACAAGAACAACAAATAAATGATAGAAACCCAATTAATGATTTTTCTACAAAGGAGTAGGCAAGGTTTCCATTCGCATTTTATCGTTTGAACTTGAGACTAAAATTATAAAGAACGTAAACTTTCGATCAAAGAAAGTCATTAAGCTTAATTAAAGCTGCTGTCATGTTTGAAAGACATGAGTTTGTTGTTGAATAAAGTTTTTTGTTTTAAGAAAAATCACTGCAATTTGTTGTTTACATGAATTTTTGTTCAATACAGATGTTTTGTCTTAACGAATATGGTATTTGACTATATATTTTTGAAAAGTATCAGCTAAGCTATCGTTCAAGACAATTTGAGATCAATTTGCAGTAATCCTAAGAATAAGGTGCTTCATCGATGAAAGTATTGAAAAAATTTTATCGATTTTTCTTAAATATTCTGTTTTATATATTTATTCTAAAAATAGAAAACGACATTTTTATCTAGTTTAGCATTGAAATCAATAATCACGTTTAAGAATTCTTCTACCTTGATTTTTAATGCCTGCTTCTAATCTTCTCTCTACACTTAAGATCATTTTAGCACAAAAATTGATATCAAAATTTTGCCAAATTCTCTCGACTTCCTTTTTCATTTGATCTAAATCCTAATAATCGTTCGTCATGAATTTCATTGACAATAATGAACAATACCTTTTCAATACGGCAGACATCACCTAATTTTTGAAGCCTGATATTCAGGCATAATACGAGACGACATAATTTAGTCATTAAACTTTCTGCCTCTCTAGTTGGAGTGCAACACTATGGCGTGGTTGTTTCCTTTATGCACACGAAAATAAAATTTCTCTACTTCAATACCATAAAACAAGAAAAAACTACAGCCCTGACACTCAATGAATGAATAAACGAGTGGCAGCAGTCATTTCTGATTCTGAGAGTGAAACATTTAAAAAAAAATTTTGATGAAATCTTTTCAATATGTTCATCGATCCAGCACATTCTTAGAGTTGATGCAAATTGACCGTGATGTCTTTTAGATAATAGAATAGATGCCATTCTCCAGAAATATATAGGCAATGTTTGTTTATCTTTAAATATAGCGAAGATAAATTATAAACAAAGATGAGACCAAAACTTATGGAACACTCTGTATTTAATTTATTTAAAAAGGAAAATTTATTTCTTACGTAATTAAGTGTTCCTTTGTAATAACATAGTACACAACTTTTATTTTTTTACAGGTATGAGTTGCGAATCAGATACGATTACAATCAATTAAAACTGCTTCATGTTTTTTTTTTATTTTGAATACACTTCATGATTAACATGATTAATAGCATCATCTTATTACCACATGTTTACATGAGAATTTCATTTTCCTTCGAGAATTTTTTAAGTCATTCATATAAGTTTGTTTCTGAGTCTTCTGTAACGGATGCACTTTTTTTCTTCATATAATATTTATGTAATTTTAAGTACATAGAATAACAGCAACTGTCATTGTTGCTATTTTGTTTTTATGTGTTGGAAAATCAATAGCAAAAAGGATATAGTCGAAGAAGAAATCCATCCACACTCTCACCCTTGTTTATATCTAATATCATTCGGAAAATACAAAGTTTTATCTGGTCTTTATTGCAGAATTCAGTACATATTCGTTACGTGACTCTGTCAATCATTGAACGATTGCAATCAGCTAATTATAGATATCAGTAGAATACTATAATTTCCTAGTATTTATTTAATATGTTATGCAATCGACAATATCGATCACCGAGAAGTGGATTTTTCAAAATAAGTTAGGTTAGAAAATTTTGCGTTTTATGTTGAAGCACAACCTGTTTTTATATTTTGTGCTTTTGCTGTAGCAATATTATAGAAATGGAAAGATTAAACAGTTGAATCTTATCTTGTTCATTATATTTAGTGAGGTCAAGTTTTTACCATAATATAGCCAATATTGAAGGGCGTTATTAAATGTAATAACTAAAATTTTCAAGTTCATCATGATGATATTTCTTAATAAAGCATTGAGATTACGTTGTTAAAGGAAGACGACGCGATCTGTTCTTGCTTTCAGCAATTCGACTTGGACCAGAATATCTTTCTGTACAATTTCACGTAACTCTCAGATCTATCTATCATGGAGTTCGAATGCTGGAGTTCAGACACTATAAGTGCTGGAAGTCGAAGTTTCAGTCCGGAAAATCATGTTTCTATGGACGATGCAATACTAAAAGTCACGAACTCAGTAGTTTTCTTTCACACTAATCATTGGAGCAATGTTTTTTTTTCTATAGAAGAAATTTTACTTCATTCTATTGTCGCATATGGCTTCGATTCCGACTACTGTAGATTTTTCAGCTTTTCTATGACTCTGATTTGTCTTTTTCGTGGCATCAGTTTCTCTGGTAATATCTGCATTTATTTATCGATTCTTTAACTAAAACGTCACAATGAAAATAAAAGTAACTTGCATTTATTATAAAACAATGAGTATTACAGTAATATTCAGTCAAAAGTTATTATCTTCTTGGTCACTTGATTTGGCATCACTATCGGACATATTCACTTTCACTCATCACATGTAGTTCAGTTTCTTCTTCGAAAACGTCACTGACAGAAAGAAATTCCTACTTGACCTTGTGAGGATAGTTGATGAGTCAGTGACTGATCTCGCCAAGTCAACAATATATTATTCAGACAATGAGTGAATATCACTGTGACGAAAGTAATAGCTGTGCAAACAAATACACGCTTTCACCTGAGCCCACCTTACTTCTATGGTGTTGAGGATGCAGTATTTGATTGGAAGATGAACAAATTCAATAGTATATTTATGCATCATACATTTGATCTCTTTTTCACACGATTTATCATCATCATCATTGATGTTGAAAAAACTATTTCTTCTGAATGACATAAACTCTTTAATAATTTATTCAATGGTTGAGACATGACTGAACTATTTTACGTCCATTAATCTTCGTACAATATCCATATTCATCATTAGCAGTATTATACAACATTAGGCTGTTTTTATGTATTGATAGCCTCAAAATATGAAACTACCTTTATATGATATGAATAGACTGTCAAAAATGATTACATAATAAAAGCTGCAAAAGAATTTACTTCTTTTTCTTTTCATCCTGAGAAAATAAAATTTATTTTCACACGATAATTTTACATATAGAGTGACTTTCTATCGTACTTTGTATTTTAATGCCACAAAATTCAAAGTTAAAATTTTCATACAAATAATCTGTCCACAAGTGTTTTGTCAAATTATATTTAGTAGATCACCAAGATCCAATGTCAAACCTAAACGATTTGCATTTCTGTTTGATGCATGATTAATCATAATAAACTCATTTATACATGGTAAAAGACAAAATACAGAGAAAAAGGATTTACTGATTATATGTTTTAGCTAATAGAAATAGCTAAATGATTTATAAGTACTAGTCAAATTATTTTTTTTTATCAATTTTTTCTTTGAAATATGGTTATTAACTAATTTTGAAACGCAAAGGAGTGTTGCAGGTATCGGTGAAGAGAAGGTCACGATCCAACCATACCCGAATTTGAAAAGTGTCTGTACTCAAGACGCTGGTACTGAATGAGCTTGTGGGTGTCGGTCTGGGTGTGAATCTGAGTCTGTAGGTGACAGTAAGATATCAGCGCCCACAACCACAGCCTACATTAGATGCCGAATCGAACTGACCGTGCGTTTTACTGGTTCGAGTTCGGCATTGTTCGTATTTGTCTTCTGATATAGAATAATCGGTCAAACGCCATTTAATAACTGCCCACATCATTACAAGTTTTCAAAAAAAATGAGAGTCAAATCAATCATTTTCCTTAATAGTTTTCTATATT